AGCCTCACAGCCGAATTCCGAAAGTTGATGGAAACTAAGTTTGAGATAAGCTCAATGGGTCCTATTAGTTTTTCCCTTGGATTGAATATAAGTCAGGGACGAGAAGGTATTTTCATTAATCATGAAGCATATACGAAAACTTTACTCTCTAAGTTTGGCATGTTAGGTGACTCTAAAGTGAACGTTCCAATGGCATTCGGAACAAAACTCACACCATCTTTGGAAAAGCTAGCTCCAGATATGACCCTTTATCGTCAGATGATTGGTTCCTTAGTGTATCTAATAGCTAGACGACCGTACATTATGTTTTCTATTTGTTATCGTGCAAGGTTCCAAGCAAATCCACGCGAACCTCACATGGTGGCAGTGAAGAATATTTTCAGATACCTAAAACGAACATCATCAATAGGCATATGATATCTTGCGAACTCCGGCTTATTTGCTCAAGCATTTTCGGATGCGAATCTTGGTGTTTGTGGCCTAGATAGAAAAAGCACAACTGGTGGATGCCAATTTCTTGATGGCAAGTTAGTTAGTTTGCAATCCAAGAAACAAACATGCGTATCATTATCAACCGCTGAGGCCGAATACATAGCTACAGCTTCGTGCACATCTCATGTCATTTGGATTCAAACCCAGCTTTGTGACTATGGCATGAGTATGAAAATAATTCCCCTTTACTTTGACTCTGAAAGTGCAATTCGCATTTGACACAATCCAGTGCAACACTCCAAGACGAAACATATAACACTGAGGTATCACTTCATCAAGGATCACGTGGAAGATGGCAACATCGAGATACATTTCGTAAGATCCCCTGATTAATTGGCTGACATATTCACAAAGGCCCTTCCTAAGACAACCTTTAATAGAATTCTTCAAGGGCTAGGAATGATGGAAGTTGAATATATACCAAAACCACTTTTGTAGTAATAATGAAGTAAGTGCGAATTGGTGCGAAGGTTCATAGCATTCCACAGACAATTGTTCATTCGCTATTGACTCTATTGATGCGAATCTATGCGAACGCTCGTAATAGTTTGTGGTTCTATGTTCATTCATTGTTTGTTTTCTTATATCTTTTGTACTATATGTATACTTTATCTTATCTTTGTTTCGTTCTTACATCACTTTTTCTGATTTTTTTTATTTCTTCTTCAGAAAAACTCAAAATCCAAAATTCTCTATTTTCTTTTGTTTTTATTTTTTAAGATAAACAAAATTACAAACGTAGTTTCTTTGTATTTCATAAACTATCTAAAATATCAGGCACATATAAAGCCCATGGAGTATGTTTGTGATTTCTCTCATTCAGGTGAAAGGGCAGGTATGAAATTCTTTATCTTTGTATTAGCTAAGTGTCCCTAGAAACATGATGTTGCATATTGACCGAAGCCTCAATCGACTCCATGTGAAGCCTTAATGAATCGAATCTACCATTCGTTTCTTCCCAATTAGGCTGCAAATTTTACATTCTTCATGAGCTACCTTACTCTTCTCACATCACGTTAAGACTTATCTGCTTGGTCACATTTGTTTCGTAGAGGTACTTTTGGTTATTTAACCACCTTCACTCTTCTTTGTTTGCCTTCGCACTCATAAATGTAACCCTTGAGACTCTGTGCAATACCACTAAGTTTTATGGTTACGAAATGTATGTGTTCATGATGTTAGCGTCGTTCACCACGAACTGAGTGAAACCCAAAATCCAACACACTTACATGAATTGACGATGAACAATTAACAGATCTAGATTATCACCATGGAATTAACGAAACTCCACCTTTTTGGATTGTACCATGAAATCTCTTTTTTCTTTTGCGAGATCTTTATGAGTACTCTATTGCAAAGTCTCTTCTTTCCAAAACATCCAGTTTATTTTGGTTTGATGTTATAGAGTTTTATCTTATCAGTATAATAATTCCAAACCTACTCGTTCAACTGACTACACCGTTCACATGAGTACTTCATCCGACATTCATTCTTATATCAAGTTCATTGTCCGGTTGGAGAGTTAGCCACACAATGAGCCGAATTATAAGAATCCTTTCAGTGTTTCTTATCAGAGAACTGGTCGTATTTCAACTGGAAACCACACATACACTTCTTAGTTTTTCTTGACTTCGAAGGAAGAAATCTATGTCCGAGATTAAATGATTTATGTCTTCATATAGACATCACAAAATTTCCAAGATATACTCGATTTATTTCTTTATCTTTGACACTCTTGCACGAAGGTCCTCATGATCTTCCAAAAGTCTTGTTTGTGGTTCTTAATATTTACTTTCAAGTTGGCAGTGTAATCCAGTTTTTCTAAAACGAAAGTTTGCAATTGTGGGACAAAGAATGTTTACCTGCGAAAGATGGATGATGATGCGACAATCTCTGGCGATACGAATTCAAAAGGGTGCGTGAAGAATTTGAATGGCCGGCTATTTTTCCGCCGCATGACACACGGATTTGACATCTACAATTGTCAAGTCACACTTTTTCAGGTGACGTTTCAGTACCCAATGCAGACTCTCTCTGTATTTTCATCACAAAGTGAATGATATATAAAGGTTTTCACAGTTCCTCTCTCTCATTATCACTTTCAAAATCTACTCAAAAGATATCCGGCAAACAAATCGCTCTCTACTGTTCATCGTCTTCTTCAAAGCTTCTCCAATGACGACCTCTTCTGAAAATGCTTCTATTCAAGATCAAACCATTCACTGATCTATCCTAGCAATCAAACAACACTAGAATCTGATGATTAATCTAAATCCATGTAAGTATGAAGCTTTTATGCATCCGATCATCGAATGTCTCAAATACTCCCCTCTGACGATTGCTCTCACTAAAATGTAGAATATTCCTTTGTCGAATCTCTCCAAGGCGTATACATCTGCTTACTATGTTATGGATGAACAAAGAATCTACTTCGACATTCAGAATCGTACCACTTCGATTTCCAAGACCCGCTTCAGCTCCCTTCAAGGGCTTTCACAGACAGACGAGATGATCAACCCAGAAACCACCACCAATGCTGCTCTTTAGGAGATGTTCTACCGGATGGGATATAAAGAAACTTTTACAGCTCTGTCCAAGTTCAAGAAATCTAACCTTCCTCCTATGTGGAATACTCTCTTCACTCTCCTATTCAAGGCCTTTTCTACACGGGTTACAGGGTCTTACTGTGCAAGTAAGATGTTCATGGGATCTACGTATGGTCTGTACAATGGTCAAAATGTCGATTACAGATCCATTCTTTGTGCTCAAGTCATCCAGAGTATACATTCCACCAGACGTCACAGTGAGATTTCCTGTGTACTTTTTTGGATTATCATCGTTCGCATATCAATTGAAAAGATACAAATTCCATTGATGGTGGATGCACTGATGGCAAACATATCCACTTTTCACACCACTGGAATAATCGTTTTCGACATCTCAAAGTTCTTTTTTTCTAGGATCGATTCCGGAAGTTATGTTCAGTGATGTGCCTCCTTCAAGCAAAATCCTGGAGGGATATCGAACACTTACTCCATCTAGTTTTCGCCCTTTAACTGCAACATTTCAAGAAATCCTAGCTGAGGCAGACAAGGTCAAGAAAGGGAACAAGGGTTCAAAGAAAGGAGGAAAGAAATTCACCGATAAGGTGGGTTCATTTACTACTGCAAAATCTCCTACTAAAGAGTGAAATGCCACTGCAGCCTCCTCCACTGTTGCCCCTAAACACCGAAAACAAATGGCTCGCAAACACAAGTCTCCCACTCCGAGTGACAGTAGAGATTCAAATTCTGAGACACAGTTAGTTGTCATGGTTGAGGGAAATGCGCTTGTTCACAACGAGGAAGAAGAGGTTGTTCATAGCGAAGAAGAAGAGCTCGTTCGTAATGAGGAGGAAGAATGTGTTCACAATGAAGGCGAACAAGTTCGCAACAAACTACCAGCTCTCAATGAAGAACAGAATCTGAACCCAGAGGTAAATGAAACATTTAATGATTCTGTTCCTTCTCCTCCTCCTTCACCAAAAACTACTTCTACACCAATCACTATTGCACCTTGTCCTCCGCCTGTTTCAAATGAATCTTAAACCACTGTTTCCGTATCAACCCCACTATTCATAGATTCAATCACTCCTCCCACCACATCAACCAACCTTGATGTTACAGTCAACGTATCTGATACGGGGGCTAAAGCATCAGATTTCTCAACACATGGCTCACTTCCCATCTCCCCCATTCGCACTGATGATACAGATATGATCTTCGGGAATGATAATGATGATGATCTTGATGGATTCACTTATAGTCCATTTCAAATAAGGATGGATATTAAAGACGAAGCCACTATCACGAAAGGGGAGCTTCACTCCCTATATGAGAAAATTAACCAGCTACTCCTTGCTTCTAGGGCTTCCTCTTCTAAAGCATACTCCAAAGTCACAGTTGAAGCCCTGTTTGAGCGAATAACAAAGTAACACGCAGAAAACGTTGCAAAAATGAATAAGGCGGTGTCTGATTCCACAGAGGTTTGCAAAACAATGACCGAAAAAGTCGATAAACTAATCTCTGAAACAATTGCTTTTATGGAGAATTATCGAACCACCTACAACAACAATATTGCATATGCAAATGAATCTCTTCAAAACCTTGGCTCTAAGTTCAAAACTAAGAAGACATATTTGGAGAAGATTAGCACTAGCTTGCAGCAGGATCGCCCATTGTTTCAAACATCCTTTCTTCATAAATTACAAAGCTTCAAGATAATTAGGCGATGGAAAGCAAAATAATGGATGCTCATGCCAGTAAGACAAAGAAACTGGAGGTGATGGATCTCTAACTTCAACATTCACAGTAGCATGTCAACAATCTATTGTCTGAGAGGGCCGTTATGCGAAGTTGCATTTATGATGTCACTGGCTTGCTCTCAGATATCATTGAGACCGGGGATCGAATAATATCAATCACCGTTCGGAAACACTTAACTGAAAAAAATTAAGCGATGTGTTCACCATGTTTCACAGACTTCATGGTGTTTCACCTCAATGCTATGATGCGAAACAAGGAGGAGAAGGTGGCTCCCAAGTTACAAAGAACGGACATCTCAAAGCTGCTTTCAAACCAGTCATCATGCAACAGCCTAAGGGGAAGGAAAAACTATTCAGTGAAGACCTCATTATTGACAACGACGAAGATGAAGAACCTGATGAAGCTGAGTTTAGAAGGCGGAAGGCTCGTGAAGCAGAATTGGATGAAAATTCCAGTATTGTCAGGGAGGCAGAAGAAAAGGAAAGGGATGAAAAGGAAGCTCAAACCACACTTAATAGCAAAATGCTATTATTTCCTAAGTGGACCCTGAAGTGAATCCAAAATGAGTCGTGGAGTTTCCAAGCCAATATTGGTTGGATCCTGTTGCATCCTTTGATCTTCAAAATTCTTAGGATTCGCAATTAGATCATCCAATCACTCTTAAGGCTTTTGGGTTTCGTACCTTCGTGAAGGTTGCGAATGCTCCTTTCTCAGACAGCGGAGCCGATCAAATGTCGTTTTCCTTCTACTTGAAGCACATGAAGCCTCAATTTGAAACTTTGAGTGTGAACAAGATTATTGTTATCAAAGTCACCGGGCCTATCGAGACTGAAAGTTTCCCCAATGCAATGTTCAAATTAGCGAGAGGTTCGGCTTGTCAAGCCTACGAATTCACCCTCAAAGACTTGCCTTGTCTGAATCGTCATAACTGGATCATGTTATACAACTTGCTGTTGAAAGAGAAGGAGAAGTACGAACCTGTTATGACCCATCTCCAATTGATGATCAAGTCGTATATTCATGAAGTTGGTTTAATGGATGTGGATATTGTCGCTGTTTTGAGAAAGAAGTCGAACGTTGTTCCCAAGGAAGCTCCAATGGACTACTAAAAGTTAAAGCCATCAAAGATATACAAGGAAGGATGGTTTGTTGTGTACTGGTCTAGAGATCGCCCTGCAACAGACTATCGCAGGCCTTACTTCTATCTCGAAGACAAACATTTGTACACTACTTCGTGTCTAGAGTTTGTATTGGATCTGGTTACTATGTTCAAGGGAAACCATAAGGATGATGTCAAGTGCTTCTCTGATATGATTTTGTGGTATATCCAGGTTCGCAAGATGTTGTTGTGCTTTAATCCGAAAATCTTTGAAGTACATAAGTGAATCACTGGCTGATGGGTTGTAGCCTCCATTGACGCAAAGTGGGAGATTGTTGAGTATTTTGTTTTTGTGTCATTGGGCTTTGTAGTTAGTCTATTTTATAAACAGGTTGGGCCTGTCCTCCCATATTTAATTCTAGCGTTATAGTATTTATGGTGCATGCATGCATCTTATTTTAGGTTAACTCTTTTATTCATCTTGTAACCCTAGCACACCTCTATAGTAAAAATTCTTCATCAAGTTTAGCTGAGGTGTGACTTTTAATCATTCAACATCTATTTGATTATTTCAGTGTTATTGCTTACCTGTTTGAATATTTTCGAACTTTAAGATTTTAATCTAAACATGTATATAAAGAACGTCAAAAACGGAGCTTGTATGCAAGAGTTATGACCTTTCGAGGATACAACTGTCTGAGAGCATGACGTGTGTCAGAAACCCTAATTTAACAGAATGCACGACGTGATCATCATTTCTCATGACATGAGGAGTCAAAACGCCACTTTTCGTGCCTAGAAGACACACGACAAGTCTATGTTAAAGGGTCACGACGTGAGAAGCCATCTGGACACTACGGGATGATTAGGACCAAACTCACAATGTGGGAGTCAAAATCTCTAACTATAAATAGCATGTGAGGCTTACCGGAAATGGTTGCTAATTCTCACTCTCATTCACTCTCTATACCCTCTAGCCATCTTAAAACACCCTAAATCCTCGGGAACATCTGAAGAAATCCCGGAGCCCTAACGTCCTCGAGTAAATAATCTTTTTTAGTTGAAACTTTGCGCGTGTAAAGACCGATTTTCATCAGAAACTCAGGGTTTTGTTAAGGAAATTCATTTCTAGAGACAAAGTGTTGTTCAAATCACCACATATCAAGTGAGTTCATAGCCCTACACTTTTCCAAACTTTTTATATGTTTTAAGGGGGGGAGGGAATACAAGTAAAACATAAGAAATCTTGTGTTTATAAAAAAACATTTATTACGTTCCCTTTTACTTTATAAACACTTTACACGTTATTGCTAAATTATATCTTCTAAAGCTGTTAAAATAACGAGGATTTTATTATTAAATTCACATGCATATAAACTATAACAAGTATAGTTTATGAAAGTTTCAGATTATTTTACTAAGTAGGAAAAACGATATGAAAACAAGCATATAAACTATAATAGGTATAATTTATGAGTCAGTCCACAATTTTTATCATAAACAGGTATAAATAAAAAAAATTCATTTTTATTTATGAAAAGGTTTTTCACCGTATTACTCGTGAATTCATTGATACACTAGATTTGTGAGACATGGCTTTGCATATTTACCTAAGCACCAACGAAAGTCCCCACTTATGAACTAGTGTCTCCTAGAGGGAGAGTATGAGTTTGTGTATAGATCTATACGGGACTGACAACCCCGCACCCTGACTGTTAACTACAATTATTCTGGGTGACAAACGCCATTAACGTATCTGGATATCCGTCATATTAATATAGTTATAAGAATTCACATGGTGAAAAAAACGATTTATTTACGTAGTAATATGCTTATTAAACAATATTAAGGGGTTATCATTATATGATTACTTCGTATATACACCAGGGTTATATACAGTTAATATCAGATAGGCAGTGGATTGTGTGATTTCCGCTCATTTCCTGTTCCATGTTTGGTTGTGGGCTTACGGTAGAATCACCCAATCGACTTTATGTTTGATCTCGATTATATATACCCTGTATATATTAAGTAATCATGGTAAGGTTAAAACAAAACATCCAGCTTTCAGGGGAAGCACGTCTTCAACTAGTTTTACTTAATAAAACTACAAGTTATCAAACTAAGTAGTGCATTTATACTTATACTTTTTCGGTCTTGGTATGTTAAAGACTACCACTCATCTTTACAGAAAATATAGGATTTTCTGGAAATAGATTCGATTGATTACATGTCGATGTGAATACCTAGTGGATACATTTGTGCTGTTTACATAAATATCTGATATGCAGTGGAATGTGTGATTTACGCCTTACTTCCTGTTCCTTGTTTGGTTGTGGGCTTAGGGCAGATCCATACATTCGACTGTCCGTTCGATCCTTGATTATATATAACTTTATGCACTAAGTAATCATGGTAGGAACTAGTATTGGTCACTTTACTGATACGAAATTAAAGAGTTATATATCTTAATTTAAGTATAAGAAACATATAATATTTTGGTCTTAAGGTCTAAGACTACAATCCATTTTACTAAGAAAATATAGGATTTTCTAAAGGAACACATTCATCATGATTAAAATAACCTTTATTGTTAACTCTAAGATTACCTAAAGGATAAATTAGGGCTATATATCATAAGGATCCGATAGATAGTGGAATGTGTGACTTCCGCCTCACTTGATTTTCTTTGTTTGGTTTTGGGCTTAGGCCAGACCTACCCATTCAACTGTCCGTACGATCTAAATTATATACAACTTGTATACACTAAGTAATTGTAGAAGGAACTTGTATGGTTATTATTTAATAAGAAAATGTAGGATTTTATGGATAAACACACAAACAATTTTGAAGGAATAAGGAACTTACTTCATAAAAAAATACTTATGAACTCACTAGTTAAATTTTGATACTCTCTTTTTCAAAATCACTTGTATTCTCAGGAAACTAGTAGACAGGTACACGCTTAGGTTTTGAGACAATGGAGCATAGTAGCTTTAAGTCTTTGTTTTTTTATTTACTTTTGGAGCCAATCTTATGTAAATCAAATACAATGTAAACTTCATATTATTAATATAATGTTTGTTATACATTTGTTGTCATACTATACATGAGTCCTCCGCCCCCGAACGTTTCCGCCGTTCTGGTTTGGGGGTGTGACATCCAGCCCTCGCTGCTGAAGACATAGTTGGTCCACGCTGCAGTCTCTCACCCTGAATCACCAACTCTTCCCCACTTGGGGTCCTAACACATACCAACTGTTGCGCACAGTTGATCACCGCCCCATTAGGGTTCAACCAGTCCATTCCTATGATAACCTTGTTCCCACGCAACCGAATGGGAACCAAATCCACTAGGTAGTGCTCCTCATATAGCCTCAAAACACAATACCTGAAAAACCTCTGATGCTCGTATTGATCATTCGTCAACAATCTAGACCTCTAGAGGGCAATCTAACATTCCCGAAGACTCAGGGAACCACTTGATAAGTGCAAGAGAGACAAATGATCGTGTAGCCCCTAAATCGAATAACACCTGGACTGGGATACCGTTCACATGGAACGATCCAAAACAAAACACATAACATGGCACATAAATATCATAAGTGACATATAATAAGAGTTACAAAGAAGAAAACATACCCGTCATCACATACGGTGAGGCACGCACCTCCTCAGCGGTCAACTGGAAGGATCGGATCCTCATCACTGGAGCATCTGTCTTGCCCTGTCGGCCATCCGTAATCCGCAGGGTCGCTGGAGCTGGCACTGCTGCTGTTGTCAATCTCGGGCAGTTGGCCTTTTATGGCCCTTCTGATTGCAATGAAAGTAAATCAGGTCTGATGTATGAAAGGTGGAGGTAGGGGCAGTACAATCTCTGCCAAAGTTCCCAGTCTTACCGAACTTATAGCAGCCCGATCCCTCAGTCCGACGAACTCCCTCATGAGACTTGCTGCATTTCCCACACCGGCTCCGGCCTTGCTGGCCCTTTGATCAAGAGTCAAATCCCTTGGGTTTCTTCCCTGAAACCTCAGTACCCTGCTCAGTCTTTTCCTTCCTCTTCATGGTGTGCTCTATGTAAATCTCTCTCTCCCTCACCCTCGTAATCATGTCATCCAATGTTGGACATGCCGAATGGCTTACATGCTTCCGAATGTCAGCTCTCAACATGTCATGGTAGCGGGTATTCCGCATCTCCTGATCCCCTGCATATTGAGGCACCAATAAGGCCCTCTCCCTGAACTTGAGGATAATCTCTTGCACCGACTTAGTCATCTGCCTCATATCTATAAACTCCATGGCTAGCTGCTCGAGCTCCACAGTCGGTGCAAACTCAGCCATAAACCTGGTCATAAAGTCAGACCAGGTCACAGCTTCAATGGTTGAGGCTTCCAAAGAATCACCGACTGCCTCCCGCCAATCTCGAGCTTAGTCTCTCAAACAACCTGCTGCATACCGGACCTTCGACCCCTCAGGGCAAAATCTCGTCAACTGAGCAGACTCCATGTCTGCAATCCACTTGCTAGCAACAATGAGGTCCTTCACCCTGTGGAATTCTGGCGGACCACATCCCCTGAAGTCCTTGAAGGAGAATGTACATGTCCCTGCCTGGCCAGATGACATGTCGCTCCTGAACGCCCTAAGGCGATCCTCCATCAGCTCGATAATCCCTTCCTTGATCGACCTAAAAACCATCAGGGTCGACTGGCATGGAACACGAACCTGAACCTGATACTGATCCCGATCTTCCTGCTCATTTTCTATCCTTTACACTTGTTCAAATCTATCAAAGATAGCCTCGTTTTGCTAACTTTTAGCATTGTTTGAACTCTATTTGAGTGTTCTAAACCTAGTACAATTAAGGTAGGAGGTTAGAAATGGGATAACACGAAGCATATCAAGCAAAATCGGGCCAAACACTCCAAAACATGGAGTTTGCGGCCGCACACTTGACTGTACGGCCAAACAGGTATGTGCGGCTGCACACCCATCCCAGCCACACACTCCCACC